CAGGAATGTCCCATTGTGGTTGTAATTTTTTCTCTATTTTAATGTGATGTAATAAATAGGGAAGTAATTGTGTGATGTGAAGCCTTAGATATTTCAGGCTGCGTGTTTGTGGTGTTTTTCCCTAGTTTGCCTAGGAGGTTCTCAGTGGGAATTACAGTCAAATCTCAAACAAACTTTGGATGAGGGCACAAATTACAGTATAGAGAACTGGGATTTCAACAGTTCTCTCTCACCTTCAGCATATGCCATATTTCCAGTCGTATCAGCTAGCTTTGTATTTGCTCTTCTGAATTATAGTGCTATGCCTGCTCATGGATACTAAGCAGCTCGATCCAGTTACCTTAATGTAGGTGTTCGATGCTAATTGAAAGACCTTACAGAGTGTCTGAGGCATAAGCTTTATAGGTATGACATGGCGTCCACAGACCCCAGGGCAGCAGCTGGAAGCTAGATGGGATTGCAGGAACATCTCAAATATCACTAGAAACTTCTGCTTAGGCAAATATGTTGAGCTTTTGATGGTAGTCCTACAGCACCTCTGACTTGTTTTCCTTCATACCTTCAACAGTAGAAGATGTCTGAATTTAGCAGTAGAAGTTTTCTTCAGTTGTTTTCCTAAAGCACTGATGACCATTGAAGAAATTGTTTCAATATTTGTTTCTCATATTTCCTTGTTAGTTATAGATGCAGAGAAGAAAAAAAATTTATAGTTTTAAATGATGAGTTTTGACTGCTGATCAATTTCTAAACAAGGTGAAAATAATTGAAACATTGTTAGAGAGACTCAAGTAACAATATAATGCAACCATTTCACTAGAGAATTTTCAGAAAGAGAAAATTGAGAAACTTTTTTCCTCAAGCTCTCTACAACCTTATTTCACCTCATGCTGAATGTGCCTGGGAAGAATTAAGCGTATTATTTTTACATAGGATACTTGATTTACTGACTAGATGGACTCTCTTCTTTTTTTTTTTTACATTCCAGGAAATCTTGTAAAAATAAGAAATATTAATTGCCATAACAGTCTACTGACCTATTGGTTAAAATCTGATTCATGTTTAAGCAGTTGTTTGTAAATTTTAAAGAAAGCTTTTGGTTTTACTCAGAACTCTGCATCTGTGTTTCTTTGTTTTAGATTGAGGAGGATACGTGGCAGAAATACTACCTGGAAGGAGTTGCAAATGAAATGTATACAGAATATCTGTCTAGTGCCTTTGTGGGTTTGTCCTTCCCTGCAGTTTGTGAGTAAGTAGAAATACATATTAATATACATAAGTGTTTGCCTTCTTTCAAGTGAAATCTAAGGTTTCTGCAGGAGACCTTTTCACTCTGCTACAGTCCTAATATTGCTACATTAGATGGGATCCAGTAAAATAAACATTAAAGCAATGACTGCATGGAAGTATTCCAAACATTGTAATGCCTGTTTTCAGAAGAGATTTGGAATTAAGTGATTGTCAATGAAAGCATAAATGTTTTCAGTGTTGAACGAATTCATCAGTAATCCATTTAAATGGAGTTATTTACTCGTAAGTGCTGTACTATTGTTTCTTCTAATGATTCCCATTCTTTGAATAGTGGTTGCCGGTGTCACCGAGGGCTTATGTCCCATTCCAAGGAAACTATTCATTAATTGAAACAGACGTAGTGGAGTCATATAAGCAGTGTGGCATCCAGAGCTCTGTGTAACTGGCTGCAAACCACTTTTAACAAATGAAATATGTCAGAAAAAAATATGTCTATTCTGTAACAAGAAAGGAGTATTTGAAGCATATAGTATATAACCATAGCATAAGCCATGCTACAACTTTATTTTGAGAGACTGAATATCCTTATATTTGTCCTAGAATGATTCTGTGAATCATAGATTTGTATGCACAAGGTTTGTATGATAAATACTGTGGCCACAAACATAGTCAGGATAAGTTAGCACAATCATATTTCCTCTTCTGCTGGCATTGTTCTTCATTACAGCTGTACCAAAAGGGCACAACAAAGACTGTGGACAGCTTTTGCTAGGCACTATTGCTTAAAATGCTTAAAAAGAAACAGACCCTAATCTGAAGAGTTTCATATCTAACTAGATAATGTAGAAAAGCTTCTGCAGACTCCATTCTTAGAGGAGGAAATAGAAGAAGAAGATATAATCTATATGTAAAGGAGAATGATTTTGCTTTAACTCCCATCACTTCTCCTACGTTTTGTGATTTTTACAGTACCTTAAACATAGGTTATGGCATAAGAATGAGGAAGAAAGAACTGTTAGACAAATGTTATCCATTAAAAAAATCTATCTTTTTCTGGGATGTGTAGCTATGATAGAGCCCAGTCTCCAATTTGCTACTAAAATGAAGGGGCTCACAATCCATCCCTCCACTGTGTTAACCAGACTGTGACTAGGTTATTGAGGGAAAATGTTTATACTGCAAGCACAAAACTTTGCCTGGATATCTTGAAACAGAAAATCTTATAATGCATTCTAGAAATTTGTATGATATGCAGAATGAATGGTCATTTGTGCTGTTTACACTAACTACAATCATGAAAACTAAATCTCCATGCCAAACCATTGTCAAACATAGCTGCATTTCTATATGAGTTCTTAGAAACATGTGACTGAGACTGTATTTGACATGAAGCTGACATTCATTTAACTGTGCTGGTAGAGCTGAGATAAAATAATCAATAAAGAAAGGGCATTTATTGAGATTTAGAAACATGTCTAAACTTTGGAGCTCTCCTCAAGCATTTGATTATCAGGAGGCTTAATTAACTATATTTCCTAGTTTAAATTAAAGAAAAAGATTCATCTCAAATTTTCCAACAGTTTAATAACTCTATTAAATTCAGGTTAATTAAAGCACGTTGAAAATTAAAATGTAGTATTATGTATTAATGAGTTTGTTGCATAGATATGTTCATTCCTGTAAGAACTGGCTATTCAATTTCCAGAAGAACTGAAGGACAGCAAAAAGTCTGTTGCATTGGTTTGTGAAGGGGAAATAAAATCAGTGGTCAGGCTTGGTGTGATCAACTATCCACAAAATCTATGGACTTTGAAAACAGTTTTTGTAATTTAGCTTTTAAAATTCATGCAGTCGATGACCCTGAGACTAAATGAGATGTGCTGCTTCCTCAGGTTATTGATCTTGATAGCCGGTCTAGGAATGTGGTTCTTCAGTAAATAGGCTGCAATACAGTTTAGATAACAAACATAAAGAGAGCGCAGAAACATCTCCTCTTTCAGTGGGGATGGGACACTCAATATTGTTGCAGAATTTCAAGCTTTTGATGTCAACACCAGGGTGAAGATTTAGATGGAAATAGAAGTTAATATCAGTCTGCAAGTTTTATTTATAACTCTGAGTGTATGCGTGTGTACTGTGTGAACATATTCCCATCAATATATTTTCAATATGTGAATGTAATTCCTATCATTCTGTGCCCTTGGATATTGTTGGACCAGGTGTGGATGATGCTGATTGAAGAGTAAACTAACCAAACTGTTCCCCACTAGCACAGAGTCTTCTAGTGGGCCTTCTGTATTTACTAATGCAAGGCTAACCTTCACCTAGGTTCTAGGCCCACCATTCTCCACCCAAAAATTTTCCTAGTGAGGCTAGCACATCTATAGATTCACACTTGACCTAGCAGTGGAAACAGCATATGAAAGTGTCCACTTCTCTTAATATATGTTAAATCGGGCCTATTTCTGTTGGTTCTATTTTTGAAGTCACTCATTCAATCAAATGTCACAGCCATGTTTTAATAAAAGGCAAAATTATAGAGATGTCATTATCTCTGTATTTGTGCAGCATATTGTTGCATGGTATATAACTACGGCATATGTTCCCATATTAGTCATGAAGATTTTTGTATGTTTTTATAACACACCATTTGGGGAGCTAATCACAGAAGCCTTAGAAACCTCACTGTCCTGACAAAGGTGAACTAAGTTAGGCGAATAGGTGACATTCAGCGCTTGTGTGCATTCTCTCTCAGCTATACAACATATTATTTCTCTTCTGTGTATATTCATAGTAGTAGCACTTCCTAGTCTGAGAGTGACTCCAAATTAAGCCAGTCTTTCACAGAACAAGGACAGCATGTGCTACTTGTAGCTTTCAAGTTCTTGCTTCTATCTTTGTATCATTCTCTTCAACTAGATTTCTGACATCTCAGAGGGTGAGGTAAATCTTAGGCACTTTTGAACTCTTGAGATTTAAGACACACATAATATGACCAGTACAGTTTTCTGCCTCTGAAGCAGTGATGCTGGATCAGTCCGTAACTGTTAAATTAAGAGCATTTTCTGAACCCAGGATTTTTTCAACATTGCAGATGAGTGTCAAATTTTAGACTCAATAAACCTAAGCTTAGCTCAGGTAGTGGCCAAGCCTCAAGACAGCCTCTAGACTGACAAGACTCTAAATGAAGCTTTCCATCTTCTGCCCGTGATTGAAATCAGACTCTATCTGATTCTGCCAGAGACATCTCCTATATTTTACAATTTCCTCCAAGCACTCTTAGAAACCCTCCTCTGGGTGCCCCCAGCAAAAGGTTGGCCACCCCCACTGCCTCCACCTAGCCAATGAATTACGTGCTAAATATTTTCCTCAGACACACCTGTGAGATAGCAAGAGCCAATACATGAAAACAGATGTTGTTGTAAGGTCCCACTGTGCTCCCTAATTTCATCTCCGTGGACAGCAACCTTTTCACAAGTATGAAAAGGCTGCTTCAATAGAAAAGTATCCATAGATCAGCCCAGAGGCCTTACAGCTTCCCACAATTCTTTCCCCTTTAATGGGTTTAAAGTATGGAGGCCTATGTTACCGTTACCGATGCTTACACCATAGTTTTGGATAACTGGGATTTTACTACACTTGGTACAAGCAATAATTAGTGGGTTAGTAATTACTGGACAAATTTTGGTTTATTAATTCAAAACTCTGTATATGTGGCAGCCATGTTTCCTGTTCATACCTAGAAAACTAACAGTATCCACTTTTATAAAGCAAGCTTGGTTTCTTTGTGCTTAAAACCTTCAGTAGAGCTCTTGCAGGAACAATATCCTTACTTAGTTTTCTTATTCCAACATGATCAGCTTTACTCAGTGCCAGAAAGAACAGTGGAATGATAATTTTGTTTAGCAGGATAAGAGTACACAAAAGTAATGCAAGACAAATATTTATGAAACTCTTTAGCCAGGTGTGTGTTGGAGTAGGATGTATTCCACAACACTTCACAGCACTTCCATTGCATTTCAAATCAGGAACCATCTTGTAAACCAAGATAATATTTGATGTGGGAAATACAGAGGAAAATCAATGTAGTTCTGTATTGACATTTCTTACATTCTGTGTTTTTATAACAGACTGACAGGTCAGCAACCAAAAACTGTTAAATATTCAGCTCCCGTTCTCACTACCATCCTAGTAATGGTAGTGGTATCCATTACTGTGAGCAGCAAATTTATTGGCTCACCTGCTCTTGGTCTTATCAGCAGCCACTGACTGGAACTGCTACAAATAATTAATTTGTATTAAGTGCTTCTGTGTGTATATAGAGAGAGTAACGTATGTCATTGAGTGATGTATGTCATATTATCATGAGTGACATAAGTCACTCTCTATACACTCTATTAGATTGTTTATATAATGACTCATGAACCCACTAGAAAATAGCCTGATCTTTATCAAGATTCACCCATATTCTCTATGTGTTGTTGTATTAAAATGTATACTTGGTATTCTGTATTCCCTCTAGATGATTACTGTTCCTGCTATGATGAATTCCACATTATCCTAGTAGAGTTCCAGTCTTGGAGGTCTTTTCACTGTGCTAGATTTAAAGAGTACAATGACTTTTTGGGTTGATTTATGCAAACCTTGGCCCACTTCAGTGTGTTTTTTTATTATTTTAACTTATGGTAATTGTTTACAACTCATTCTCATAGAATTTAATAGAAGGGTTTTCCTTTTGGTCTTTGAATGACCCCATAAGATCTTGATCTCCTAAGGAAAAGACAAAAGGCCTTTTCCACAGCCATGCATGAGTAGATAATCAGCAACATTATTGCTAAAAACTTTGCTAGGTCTATAGAATAAGTGCTTAAAAGACCCATACCAAATGCTCAGCTTCTGCACATGACAGGGCTGATAGCTTTTTTCTTTTTTTTTCTTTTTCTTTTTTTCCTTTTTTCTTTTTTTTTTTTTTTTTTTTTTCTTCTTCCTTCTCCCTCGTCTCTTCTTCTTTCTTCCTTCTTTTCCCCATTTGTTACCCTGTTGGAGACAGGAAGCTAAACTATTGTAACCTTCAACCAGAAGATCATTTAAAGACTGGGGTGACAAGACCCTTTTCCAGATACTTCCCATGATGACCCTTCAAAGATAAAGCAGCCTCATATCATATCATAGAAGAGTTCAAAACCTGTATATTATATTCAGATACATCAAGGAAATGTTTACTTGAAGTACTAAAGTACATTTAAAGTGTTGCCATGCAGGTGCATTAGGCATTGTTGTATGTAATACTTTTCATCAGTTTCAAATCTATTTCTGATACATCTGTTGATTCCTGACTCTGACTAAAGAAATTAAAAAGTGCATTCTTCACTGTTTTGGCAGTAAGTGTGAACAATGTTTTTCATGCACTGAACCTGGCAATGAGTACTTCTTTATAGCCAGTTATTCGTAACTTGCAAAATATAAAATATAATTGTGTTTCATTTTATTGGTCAGATGGGATTAGACCAGGAAACATACCTTGAATATGTAGTATCTCTGTGTCTCTTCACAGCTGAGATTATGGTTAAAATTCTAATCTGACATGGAACTGCCTACTTAACTAAAGCCTGTCTAGTAAACTAAACTCCTCACTGGTATTGTTCACTTTTCATTAAGCTAATGATTCCATTATTTCAGTGCAGTTACTTCTGCTCTGCATCAATGTAAGATACATAGCAATCACAGATCCAGAAACATCTGCGTGATTACACATACACACGGCACAGCTGTATTTTTTTCATTCTTCTGTATTTCTGAGGTGGCCTGTTAGGGTTTCTTATCCTTTCACAGAATGCTCAAATTTTTTGCTGTCTTTCTGAGGTGTAAATAATAATTCAACAGTCATGTAAGATAAACAGTATTATAGTTGGAAATAACTGTAATAGTAGTTTAAATACTCTTACCTTCTGAGCAAATTTTCCAATACTGGTAGCCAATGAATTCTTCCTAATTTTTATAAAACTACAGGAGTTGCACCTAACATTGCAACGCCACCAGTGTCTTCTGTATTATATATGTGATAGATTTCAGCCAGTGGCTTTCCATTTCTTAGCATCTCTAATTTCTGATTCCTCCACTAACTTCTCTTGTCATGTACTCTTCGGTAGCATACTTAAAAAGGTCCAGCAATTATAATGCAATAGTAGAAGTGCATGTAATGATCTAGTAGGACACCTGTAAAATACATCTCAAATATTTTAACAAGACCCCAAAAAATCTTGCTAACAAACATCGTATTACGTTTGATCAGATAACCGCTTACATCAGTGCTTACTTTTAAATTTTTCAATAGTTCTGTGAAATTCTACTATTGGATTATTTGCTTAAATTTTTTTCCTTGCCTGAGCAATACATGAGTGCTCAGCATCTGGAAGAATCCAGCTGTAGGTTGAAAGCGGAAGGTGCTCATGCTTTTGCCAGTTTCATGTGATTAGAAATTAGCTGAGCCTGATATTAACAAACCTTTAAAAGGGATATTTGGGTTATTAAATATATATTATGATAATTTCTATTCCAACATACAAACCTCATTGACTGCACTGGTTTTAGACACTGCTGCTCCATGAAAGTAAAGTACAGTACCTGATTTTATCATACTTCCAACTCCTAAGAAACACAGCGTGCTAGCAAGTACCCAAAAAAAGCACCAGTTGCCAGTTTGTCATCTTTTCAAACTATTTTTTATGACAAATAATATATTTATGAAACAATTCTGATATTGTTTGCTCAGCTTAAGATGATACTATAAGGTACTAGTTTTTTATCAGGAATGATATTTTTTCCATGTATTTTTCATTAGGTGAATAGCAATGTGATTTATCCTGTATCAAAATACTTTTGCTAACTGCAGCTGAACCAAGGCATGGAAGTAGATTGAAAGTACTTTTTCTCTCCTGAGAAAAGTACCTTTTCCTTTGTCAAAGTAATTCAGCAAAAAATGTTATAACTGACCCTGAGGAAAAAAACTGAATGATTTATGGTGTACAAGATTTCAATCAAAAATTTTTTTGAAAAGAAAAAACTTCCTTCCCGTAGATTTTTTAATTAAAATAATTTTTTTAAATGTTTGGTACAAAATTAAATAATTAAGAACTAATCAAGGTTATGTTTTCATGTTTTGCTACTCAGAAAGGAAAATTATAATTTCTTTAAATTCTAAATACCTCAGTACTTTCACATGCAAATAATACAGCAGGTATCTATGGTTAATTTATGCCAATGATCTTACCAGTAAAGAAGGAAGATAATGTCAAAAACAATTTATTTCTCTCTGGGTAGATAGAAACATTCAGATTCAAATTCTTAAGAGCCTTTGTTCATGACCACCTGTGTTCATCAGTAGTTAGCAGATGATGCTGACAGTTGAAAATAAAATAGAAATTAATGCCTCATGTACTCTCATTGACAATTTTTGTGGACTTCTACATAATAATTTGAGATAAAAAGTGTTCTAACTTCTTATTACAAGGTTCTTTGTGTATCTGGGGAAAAAAAGCAGGTATAAGATCTTTCTGTTTCTCATTTTAATCGTATTAAAATAAATATGCACAATACAGTTAAATGGTGAGACTTATTAATCTTAATGTTTAATTGCATGGCCAAGTGCATATAAACGTATTTATTTTATCACTTAAATATTTTTAGTAAATCTGTAGATAAGAATGAGATACTGATGCCAAATCTTAGGGTAGCATTGTGCTTATCTCTTTACGTTGTGTTTGTTGGGTGTTTTTCTTTTAAGGAAGATATAGATAGATTATCAAATACTAGAAAATCAAGGAAGAGAAGTTATATGTGTTTCCTAAAGGAATGTAGGTGGTCAAAATAAAAAAAAAAATAGATTTAGAACTCAACATTCACAGCTCATGAACTTATATTGTATCATCTTTTTTAAAACAGGTATGTAATAGTCTTAATACAACACATAGGGTACTCTGGTGTTAATATGTTTGAAAATTGATTTTTTATTTTTTTCTTTTTTTTGAAGCTGATAGGCTTCATTAACCTCTTAATATTGTGGGAGGTGATGGGCTAATCAAGAATTCAGTAACTATCAGGATTTTGTCTGCCCATTTCTGACATTGACTGGAGTTCTGGGGGTAGAATAAGAATTCTAATTATTAAAAAAAAAAAAAAAAGTTAAACGAATCTTGCCCCTCTCTGTCTTTCTGGGTTACTTCCCAATACTGAGATACCACCTGCCTCCCCAGACAATGAGACCACAGTGGTATTTTTACAATCCTTTAAAACACAATTTTTTTAAGAAAAAATATACTCAGGTATTACATTGCAAAACTTAAACAATGAAAACTAAATTCTTTTTTATATATCCTTATGTGATACACAGCACATTGCCTCAGCATTGTCAGAACCCCTATATCTATGATTATCTGTAATTATTCTCTTATCCTGAAGAAATAGTAGAAATTAACTGTTCACAGTGATTTCTGAAACTTATTATAGAAATGAAATATTATCAGTTCAGCAGCCAAGTCCTTGTTTTCTGCTAAGTATGTGACTGATGCAAAGTATACAGAATATTGCTTAGATTTGCTTAAAGAAAATAAATGTTCTCGAAATATATGTAAAAATATTAATAACACTGAAGTAAGGAAGTTTGTAAAGAAGCACTGAGCACTGCAAAAGTTAGCGTATGATACAGAAGATGGCAGCCATCTAATTGAAAGGTGAGTGATAGAATAATTTGAGACAAATTCATAGAATAGGAAGCAAGTATTGAATTTGTGTGCACTTCAATAACAAAATTGGAAAAGCGTTTCAAGTTATTTAAAAAAAAGGTTGGTTTCTTTGTTTATTCTCAGAAAGCCTATTAGCTTGAAGCAAATGGTGTTGTGCTAACTCACAGTTCTGCAAGTCTATGAATATCACCCTTGAGTTGTTTTAAGAAATAGCCACTTTTACAGACTTTTACAACTGAAGAAAATGTGTATTACAGTATCAGAATGTACTTCCCATACATCGGTCAGAAATTGCTTCCAGTCATGCTGTTCCTCTGTGACAGTAGGTCACACTGACTTATAAATAGTGTATTCTCAGTTTAGTACATACATATTTTCTAAGCAATGCACACTACAATCAACATATGGCTGAATTCCAGCAAAGATTTGAAAAATTTCTTCAAGACATCCACAACTATAGCCCAAATGCAACTTTATGTTGTGTATCATGACCTTTGTTATTATTGCTTCAATAGACTTAGTAACATGGTGTTGGTGCTTATACTACTGTTCTCAACTTGTCAGTTTATATTTTTAGGAAAATACGTGTTCATTATCTTCAAAATAGAAAGACCTTAATCTATGTTCTGTGTATACCTAACTGAAAAAGTGGGAGAAGATCTTAGTGTAAATTCTCAAAGAAAATACATACCCCGCAGCCATCTCTACATATGTGATGTTGGTTGTGAAAAAGGACTGACTCTTGGCCTCTTCTCTTCCTGCAGACTGGTGTTTGCGAAACTAAAGCTCTTAATGATAGCCATAGAATACAAGTCGGAAAAACGAGAAAGCAGGTATGTCCAATGCCTACAAATTTTGAAAGTTCTGGAATGCACTGTCAAGAATTTTGCCTGCTTTTTTTTTTCAGAATGAACATAGCTATTCTTATATTTTTGAAACATTTCAGAGTATAATTAGCATGTCATCACATTACACCATTTCACATAGTGCTGAAAGGCTTTTATTACTGCCCTATTCTTCTTCCCTAAAATTAATATAAGTCAGAACATTTAGTAGACGGTGGGGCGACAGTGATACATATGTCCCATCTCCAGAAGTGCAATTCATTTTTACTTAAACAAAAACTTACAATGTTCTTGTTCATAGTGTAGCAGTTTTAATTGGAGGTCCAGCTTATTTTACTGAAAATGGAAAAGTGGAAAACAGATGAGATATCAAAACTCATTATGGCTATGTGTATTCTCAAAATAATAATTTCATTTAAATGAGTTTGTAAGAACCAATTTAGATAGGATACAGGATAAACAGAAATATAGGATAAACATAGTATTTATATGGTATCTGTTCTGATAAAACTTGCATATATGAATAACATCATGAAACTGGAAAAGATTAATTTAGCCTTGAAATTAGCAACTGGCTGCCTTGTTTCCTCAACCAAAAAGAAAAAAAATCATTATTATTAATACAGATTCACAGACAGGAAAATAAGTGTTTCTTGAAGTTTTTTGTACAAAACTTCGTAAAAATCCGAGTGAATATTGAAGTCAACCTTCTATCGACTTGTCCGTCAGTGCTTTACACAACATTCATTTTCGTATCACAAAAATGTTATAAATCTGCTCTGCAACATGTGGAGGAGCATGTAATAAAAATATGACAATACTGACTCTGAGCTGAATTTTGTTTTCCTCTGTCAAAAATTATATTCTGTACTACTGTAGTAAATCTGGAACAATACCTATTAGTTCATCTTATTTTTGGCCAATAATTACCTAAAACTTTTGGGGGCAATTGTTTCTCCTCACAGGAGAACCATTTCTGCCATTTGAGTTCATGCCACAATTTCTGAGGTTTTGAAAGTTTATTTTAATGTTTATTATTTTATGTTGTCATTTTTCTTTATTAAAATATCTCTAAAACCTATGTGGGGCATTTGACATGGAAAATACAATGTTACAACTGTTCATAAGAGTATTTCCATGCCCTATGGTTGGTTTTGCTTGATTCTTTCCTATGTTATAAAGTGATATGTGAAGTGATGTATGTGCTATTGGATATTATTTTTGTCCACACTATGCTGATTAAGAAATCCTTTTTTTTTTCTTTTTGAAATACCAGATTTTTTTTTAATATTTCCAGCTCCCATGGGCTCTTAAAACATTTTTCCATTGAGTGATCTCATTCCACGCTAGCTAATGTAAAGCAAATGATGTATTATTCTTTTGTTTCTGTACAGTTTAATTAATCTTTTCCTAGAATAAAGAAAAATATAATAGTAAAAGCAGTGGAACTATTCACCAGATTTTATATTTCCAATATTAGAAAATATTTGATTTCTGTCGGTTCTCCTAAGAATTATTGCCCAGCTTTAGGTTGTTATTACTTCAGTTGTCATTTACTTACATAAGTGCTAATATTACAGTCTTTTTCAGTAATAACAGATAATTCATGGCTTCCATATCATTCTTTGCACTAACTTCAGTGGCAGCTGGATTGAGTTCTTAATCACACAGTGATGCAGAGGATCCCACAAAAAGTAACACAATATAATACAATCATATATTCCTTCTTACTTAAAGCCATGAAGGTAACAGTTCACAATTAATTAATTTAGTAGAAAAAAGAGCCCAAAAATTGCAGGAAACAATACTAACAAAGGGGTGTTAACAACTGGATTTTGTGAACACGTATGTAACAAGAGGAGAGCATGGAAGCTAGATATTCACGTTTCCTTATAACCTTGATCCACAGTAATATCTGCTGACTTTATTAACCAGTGATAGTTTTATAGTCACTGTTCAGTGAATTACAGAGCTACCTGCAACATATCTTTACTGTTTTACTTGTTCCTGTGCTCTTCAACCCAAATATGTTAAGTACATATTTGTGGGGTTTTGAGCTGGAGCCTTTTAGTCTGACCAGAAAGGTAATGGAACAAACCTTCTGTTTCTCATTTCTTAGGTCTACTTGCATTTCCTTGCATCTTAATAAATGAAAAGATGGGTAATACAGCTAAAAATTAGACTAACATGGTGTACAAGTGCAAGCTATCTTTGAACAAGATAAATTTGTCATTTGCCAATTATCTTTGTTGATGTTGACTTTGGAAATATTTTATTCTACTTCATATCTTAAGTTCTTCATTGGTAATTCTTCATAAAGGTGAAGGGGGAACTGATTATGGTACCCTTTTAGCTTTCACACTTTATGACAGTGACCAACAATAGATATGTGCTGATTTATTTTATGATTATAGTTTAGATTCATATTTTGTAAAACTATTGAGAGGTTTTACATAGTTTACAATTTAGAGCAACAATGATAAATATAAATAAAAATTTAGAATATTATCTGGGTGGCACCCTTTTATTAAGAGTTATTATTTCCTGCCATAGCTGAGACAGGTCTACGACCAGTATTTTCAGGAGCAGAGGAAATTTTCAAAGCATTCTTTCTGCCTAAGGGATGAGAAGATCTTACTCCCACCAGTTTAATTTTTGTTGCTAGTCATAATAGAATATCTATATAAGTAAATTATATATCTGATTTTTTACTTGCACAGGAAGTTTCCTTTTATTAGTTTCATCTGCCTTCATCACTTTGCACTTAGAGCTAAAGCAACGCAAAGTGAATTCAGAAATATGTGCATCTCTCAAAAGTGGTAATGTGAGAGCATTCTAGATTTCCTAATCCCCTCTCTAAATTTTCACCTCAGTGTTAGGTATAAATCCTACTACCATTTTAAGTCAATGGCAGAATTTTCATTGACTTTGTTAATGTCTTCGTTACATGTAGAATGGCATAAATACTCACTTGCCTATCCACCTTTTTTTTCCTCAGGCAATCTCCTAGATGCCAGTTTTCTAAAGCTTTCTGATCTACAGCCAAATTCTGTTAACTCTACTATAGGGAATTTGAGATCAATAGTAATTATAAATCATCAGAACTCTATCCAAGCTAGTATTAATGTACAAGTGAGCAGTAGCTGAGCTTCCTGCTTGCAGTTGGGATTTTTCTCCTTTTTTTCCTGGCTCCTAATAAAGCTGCACAAAACAGTAAGCACACCTTGATAACAAGTTTTGACAGTATTAGATTGTTCATTATAAACCATTTATGATTTTACAAGATTGCTTAAAAGCAGAATATAGAAGTTTTCAAGCCTAAATATAGGTAATATAGTCATAGATATGATGAATACACACTCATTTTCAAATAATGGGTAAAGTATCTATAGTATGTCTATCTTTTTAGGCAAATGTTTCTCATCAAGGTATCCTAAAGATTAATTAAAATAGCCATGATTAGATTTTTTTTTTACCTTTACATTTATATATTTAATAATGTTTAAATTACTGCTCAGTTATCAAAAAAAAACCTGAGTTTACAAAACGTGACTGAATTTCGTGGGTTTCTGACCAGCTACTAAGGTCTGCACTTTAGTAGTTCCAGGTTACAATATGAGTTAGCCATTCTTTCATTTCTAATTAGTATCTGGGAATATTATAATCAGTTATTAAGAGCAGGAAGCACTTCTTAAATAAGTTTTTGTGACCCTGATGCAAGCCAAGTACTTTAGCTTAGAAAATGGTCTTTCTTAGTTCATTTGTAGAGAGGTTTTGTTTCTTCTGTAGAAAAAAAATGCTAAAGGAACTCAGAGAACATGAACCTGAAAATGTCCCAGCGGAGCTTGCTGAATAGATAGCAAAACATGTCAGTTCAAAATGCAGACATTCAAACTCCTCATCTGAAATCCCTTTCAGAGATATTTTTGCCTTCCTCCCTCCCCCCCCGCTTTTTTTTTCTTTTTTCCACATAAGTAAGCAAGAAGGAAAGCCTAACCAGGATTCTTCCCTCCTGCACCCCGTGTTTATGCCTCTTGTTAAATTTTCTCTTTGTCTATCCATATATTTGTTCTCATTCTCAGCAGAAAAACCTTTGAGCCTTGAAGACTTTTAAATAAAGGGTTTTTTTGCTTTTGCTTTGGTGTCAGTTGATTTCTTATCAAAGTGTTTGATTTGCAATTTTTTTCTTGTCGTTTGCAGAAGCCGAAAGCGGTATGCCCTCTTCGTTACCTTTCCTTCCAACCTCAATCCTACCTCCACTCCTTCTAACTTCAGGACTAATTCCTTGCCAAGAACACAGGAAGATAACATCTTTGTCTATCTTTCTCTGTATATACACACACACATATATATATATATTCATCTGTCTATGTGTGTGTATATATATATATCTGTGTGTATATTTATATATAAGCCCCCAATCTTAAAGAGGAGAGAGAATAGCATTTTGTCTCTCCATTGGTTCTTGTGACTCACGCACTAACTTCTTTGCAGGAAGTACAAAATAAAACAGTATAAGTTTTTTAGGCTTTTTTTCCCCCCCCCTTGTGGAGTCATTGGTGTATCAGATTGTTGCATTTGGAAAACAGACTTTACTGTTAACATCTCCCCTCCTCTTTTTTCATTTGTACTGTATCGTGACGATGTATATTTCGTCTTTACCAGCCCTTGTGCTGCCATATTGTCTCCATATTCACACCTTCATTGATGTCCTTCTTTCCCCAGTCTTCCTTCAAAACACGTCTTACAATACAGTAGTTCATGTTCTCTTGTAGTCTCACCTTCCATTAACAACAACCAAATACCCGATTCCTTGCATTGCTGGTCCTGTTTTGAGCCCAGTTATTCATAATACAGTACTCATTAACACTATTGTACTGTTCCAGTGAAAGTGCCATGGATAGTTTGTATTATATGTCACATTCATTTTAATGACATTTATTAAGCTCATTTATGAAGATGTTACTGAATGTATTTGTTTCTCAGTT